TCTGATCCTCTCCGTAATCCTTCAAGCACTTGCAGAATTCTGAACAGGCTTCCGTGTTCCTTTCTCTCTCTCTTTACTCCCCCCACCCCGCGCTGGACATGCCGTTCAGGCAAAGACCTTGGTTTGGTATTGTTCTTAATGCCGCCTGTCTGATTACAATGGGGGAAACACACACGCCCCCCGCCCAGATTTTCTCTGAATTTAAATGGGTAAAAACAGAACTATTTTCTTCTCTCCATTATATCCAGGATGCATTAAATTTTTTGCTCCAAGAGACTTTGGATGCTGGCTCCTGTATGAGTTCTGCCAACTGAGCAGTGGTTGCTCTTACTCTGTATACTTTCAAATTTGTTGGTCATGTCGGAAGGCCAAAAGGGAGGCAGAGCTACAAAAAAAGGTCAACCCAAAGCTATGGAGGGTTTGAGCCACTTCCTTAGCACAAAAGCTGAAACTGGTTTTTTTTGGGGGGGGGGAGGGGAGGGTTGTCAGCTGAAGGAAAAAAAGATAAATGAGCCCTGACTGGTAGAGGGAGGCTTATAAAATTGTGCATGATTGGGGGGCGGGGGGGAGAGAATTTGCCCTCATTCTCATAAGGGTAGAATTTGGAACTTAGAAGAATGAATGGGCAGCAGATTCCAAATATACCATTTTTTAAACCGTGCTTCTTCACGCAATGTATAATGAACATATGAAACTCAGTGTCACAAGCAAGGCTCCCTCTCAGCTGTGGAGTCTTGTGAGCAAAAATTCTACTTTGTGTGCTACTGGCATTAAAGTTGTGAGTGAGCAATTTGGCTACTGCATAAATGAGTTTGCTCTGGAGCTATCCTTCTTGAGCGAAGACAGAAATGTGTCAGCCGGAGGCTAAAAAACTGTGAGCTAGTTCACACTCAGAGGGAACACTGGTCATAAGGTACAATAATAGCTATTGGCTTAGGTAGCTTTACAGGATAAGTCTATGAATGACTACTAGCCAAGGTGACTGAGGGGAACCTCCACATTCAGGGGCATTAAGCCTCTGGATCACAGAACCAGGAGACAACATTAGGGGAAGGCCTTGGCTCTTCTGTCCTGTTGTTGGCCATCCAGAGGAACTGGTTGGCCACTGTGTGAAACAGGATGCTGGACTAGATGGACCACTGGTCTGATCCAGCAGGGCTCTTCTGATGTTCATATGAAGGCCTTGGCCTCTCTGCCCTGTTGTTGGCCATCCCGAGGAACTGGTTGGCCACTGGGTGAGACAGGATGCTGGACTAGATGGACCACTGGTCTGATCCAACAGGGCTCTTCTGATGTTCATATGAAGGCCTTGGCCTCTCTGCCCTGTTGTTGGCCGTCCCGAGGAACTGGTTGGCCACTGGGTGAGACAGGATGCTGGACTAGATGGACCACTGGTCTGATCCAACAGGGCTCTTCTGATGTTCATATGAAGGCCTTGGCCTCTCTGCCCTGTTGTTGGCCATCCCGAGGAACTGGTTGGCCACTGGGTGAGACAGGATGCTGGACTAGATGGACCACTGGTCTGATCCAACAGGGCTCTTCTGATGTTCATATGAAGGCCTTGGCCTCTCTGCCCTGTTGTTGGCTGTCCCGAGGAACTGGTTGGCCACTGGGTGAGACAGGATGCTGGACTAGATGGACCACTGGTCTGATCCAACAGGGCTTTTCTGATGTTCATATGAAGGCCTTGGCCTC